TTAAGAAAAGATCATTAAAACCACCAGAAAACACTCGCTCGTCACATGGGTACCTAACTGTTGAGGTGGTAATGAGATGGTTGGGTAGTGTGTGTGTCTGGTGGGTGAGCGAAGCAGAGGTTATTATCACAGTATCTATAGTAGAGGTAGTGTGGGCGGGGAGGGGGAGTGACCACGTACCCATAACAACTCCGTAGGTCTATAGAGACACGCTATCTGTTCGAAGGTTTTATGTGTGTGTGTGGACCAGCAGTCTTAAGTGTGTGTGAACCAGCAGTGTGTGTGTGTGTGTGTGTGGACCAGCAGTGTGTGTGTGTGTGTGTGGACCAGCAGTCTTAAGTGTGTGTGTGTGTGTGTGTGGACCAGCAGTGACCAGCAGTCTTGTGTGTGTGTGTGTGTGTGGGACCAGCAGTGTGTGTGTGTGTGTGTGTGGACCAGCAGTGTGTGTGTGTGTGGGACCAGCAGTGTGTGTGTGTGTGTGACCAGCAGTGTGTGTGTGTGTGTGTGTGGACCAGCATTCTTAAGTGTGTGTGTGTGTGGACCAGCAGTGTGTGTGTGTGTGTGTGTGTGACCAGCAGTCTGTGTGTGTGTGTGTGTGACCAGCAGTGTGTGTGTGTGTGTGACCAGCAGTGTGTGTGTGGACCAGCAGTGTGTGTGTGTGGACCAGCAGTGTGTGTGTGTGTGGACCAGCAGTGTGTGTGTGTGACCAGCAGTGTGTGTGTGTGGACCAGCAGTGTGTGTGTGTGTGTGGACCAGCATTCTTAAGTGTGTGTGTGTGTGTGTGGACCAGCATTCTTAAGTGTGTGTGGACCAAAAGTCTTAAGTGTGTGTGTGTGGACCAAAAGTTTTAAGTGTGTGTGGACCAACAGTCTTAAGTGTTTGAACCATCAGTCTTAAGTGTGTAAGTGTGTGGACCAACAGTCTTAAGTGTGTGGTCGTAGGTTTGAGTGCTCTGGTCAACACCTTTAAGCCAGTAGGGGAAGGGGGGGGGGGTGTATGGGTCGATCGGATAGGAACAGCCATCATCGTAACAGCGCTGAATCACCACCAGCTCCGTGTTATTGTGTGGCCTCCCTTCACCACCTCTCTTCCACCTACTGTAGTCCACACCTCCCCACCACTCCACTTGCTAACCTAATCTAATCTAACCTAACTTAACAAAACTTAATCTAACCTAAACTAAATCTTACTAAACCTAATGCTACTCTAACCTAACCTAACCTAAGCGGTAAGAAGGTTGGAGGGTTACAGTTGGCTGAAGACTTGACGTATTCTTTAAAGAGATTCACACCAACTTGTTTCCAACGCGAGGTTGAGCACAGTATACGACAGCTGGTAACACACTCAGGAAAATATAGACTATTAAGCCTTATACTTACGATAACAAGACGTCATATGGTTGCGTGAATGGCGGTAGATTAACACGAGGGGAAGTTGTGCAAGCACCGCCGTTGTATACAGTACACGGGACGGGGCATAGCGCGAGGTATACAAAATGGCGGCGCCGAGTGGTAGTGGGCGAGGCTGCCTGGAGGCGGGTAAGACCTACATTATAAAGACGCTCAGCCCCCTTGTCCTGTGAGAAGTATCTGAATATATATTTTTCACTTATTGAATACTAAGGAACAATACTTCTCGTCTCTACTAAAGAACAATACTTCTCGTCTCGCTACAAAAAAAAATTATAGTGTTTATTTACATTGTACACATTGCACCGTCTGTGTTATTGTAAAGTTGTAATGTCTGTGTGTATGTTTTTTTTTTACGGGGAATAGCCCACCAGGGCACAGGTCATCGAGCCCACAACGGGGCCTAAGGGGCGAAAAAATAAGAGTACAAATAATTTAAAATAGAGATTATATTAATCTACACCACGAAGATGCCGGAAAACCAGCTTTTTGAAGTGAGACAGATTGTATGAGTATGGAAACACAGAAGAAGGCAGAGCATTCCACAGTTTGGCTGTGTGAGGAAAGAAGGACATACTATAACGGGTTATTCTAATGTGACCGACATCCACAGAGAAACGGTGGACACCGCGGGCAAGACGAGTGTTAACGAGCCCACGGCCTTGCCGGCGGTACACAGGATGCCAAATCCACCGAACATTGAGTACTAGTAGGATTATTTTACTCGATATGTAATTATGTATGTAGGTATGCATGCACAGTATGTATGTATGCAAGAATGTATGTATGCAAGAATGTATGTATGTATGTATATATGTATGTATGTATGTATGTATGTATGCATCTTTATCATTATTATAATTTTTATCACTCTTATTCCTTATATATTTTATTATTCTATTCTAAACCATCTCAAGATAAAGCTTTATTGATGCCAATAAGATTATAAAACTTGGTAGGGTAGTTTGTGACTCCTTTCAAGTTGTACTTCATGTTGGTGGGCGGGTGGAGTGGAGTAGTACTTGAAGGGTGGAGGGAGGGTGGCGTGGAGTAGTACTTGAAGGGTGGAGGGAGGGTGGAGTGGAGTAGTACTTGAAGGGTGGAGGGAGGGTGGAGTGGAGTAGTACTTGAAGGGTGGAGGGAGGGGGTGGAGTAGTACTTGAAGGGTGGAGGGAGGGTGGAGTGGGCAGTACTTGAAGGGAGTGGAGTACTTGAAGGGTGGAGGAGTAGTACTTGAAGGGTGGAGGAGTGGGTGGAGTGGTACTTGAAGGGTGGAGGGAGGGTGGAGTAGAGACTTGGGGTGGAGTGGAGTAGTACTTGAAGGGTGGAGGGTGGAGTAGTACTTGAAGGGTGGAGGGAGGAGGGAGCAGTGAAGGGTGGCGTGGAGTAGTACTTGAAGGGTGGAGGAGTAGTACTTGAAGGGTGGGTAGTACTTGGAGGAGGAGGGGGGGGGAGAAGAAGTGAGACACACCTCACAGCATGGGGGGGTCAGCCTGGAGTATATTATATTAATATTTTGAAGATGTCTCTCCCCCACCAGACGTACGGCTTCCTGACCTCAGCATAATATGAAAGCTTTATAGAATGTGAATTAACATAAATTGTGTTATATTGCACTGTAGAAGCACGATAAAGGGGCACTATAGCTATCATACTCCAGGATAACGGGGCACTATATCATACTCCAGGATAACGGGGCACTATATCATACTCCAGGATAACGGGGCACTATATCATACTCCAGGATAACAGGGCACTATAGCTATCATACTCCAAGATAACGGGTCACTATATCATACTCCAGGATAACGGGGCACTATAGCTATCATACTCCTATATCACACTATAACTATCATACTCCTATATCACACTATAACTATCATACTCCTATATCATACTATAACTATCATACTCCTATATCACACTATAACTATCATACTCCTATATCACACTATAACTATCATACTCCTATATCACACTATAACTATCATACTCCTATATCACACTATAACTATCATACTCCTATATCACACTATAACTATCATACTCCTATATCACACTATAACTATCATACTCCTATATCACACTATAACTATCATACTCCTATATCACACTATAACTATCATACTCCTATATCACCCGCTACCTCACCTCAATGTATCGTATTTTACGTTATCCTCATCGCCACTAATCGGTCTGTAAGCCGCTTGGGTGGTCGGTCATCGGTCACGTCTCTGTTACACACTGTTGGCAAGTACTGGCTCCTGAATGTGTCTGTACCTGCGTTAGTGGTTCTTTGTTTATAAGATGCTGTCTGGTGGAGCAAGGTGTTAGGGTCTAATAGATAGATAGATAGATAGATAGATAGATAGTTAGATATTGTGGAAAATCATCATACAAGTTCACTTTATGATTCACCGTGTGCAGGTGTACAAATAATGTTTCAGTATACATAGATAGTGTAGGTATATAATGTAGGTATATAAATAATGTTTCAATACATATATAGTGTTGTATTATCTCCATGGTAGGTCATCAACAGTAGTCCATGTATACGCTATATTTTCTTACATTAATTTCTACGTAAGTTTGGAGAGGTTTAGGGCATGTTTGGATCACCTGAAGATTGACCCCCCTCCACATTCCTGGTTATTTCACCTTAAGATTAACCTAACCTAACCTAACCTAATCTAACCTAACCTAACCTGATTTAACCCAGTCCCCCAAGAATCACTAGAATATTTCATCTTTATCTTCAGGTGATTCCATGTTACTATAAACAGAGTTAAGTGAATCATAACTGAGAAATAATTCACCCTATACAATATTGCTTCAGTGCTGTCATGTATTTAACACATTTCAGAAACAGGTTACAGAAAGATACAGTCAGAGAGAGCTATATGGTGCTTCTCTGACTGTATCTTTGTGTAATCTGCTTCTTAAGTTGTTTAATACAGGAAATCGGTTGAATAAAAAAAAATTAATACAATAAACAAAATAAGAGAAAAAAATAGTAAGAAATAATAAATAAAACAATGGAAGCGCCAAATAGGGACAGAGAGAGAGAAAGAGGGAGAGAAAGAGAGAAGTTTGAGGTGAGCATCGCAGTTTAGGCAAGTATCCCCCATCTTGTTGTGTTGCTTAGTAGAGAATGTGGGCAAGTTCTTCCAGGCGGAGTTGTCGGGTTAGCTGTGTTGTTTTGCCCACCTGTTGATCTGTTGGCTCGGGGAGGGAGAGGAGGGAGGGAGGTCTGTTGGAGAGGAGGAGGAGGAGGGTGTTGGAGGGAAGAGTGGGGGAGAATGCAGGAGTCGGAGAGGGGCGGAAGCATTTGTATTCATGTTCAACTTTTACTGGGAATATACAACGTAGTTTTTTGGTGGGGGGCGGGGGAGGTGTTGGGTGTTTCGTGTTTGTGTTATAGAATCGAAACTATTTGTCTTTATATTCGTAGTTTTTTTTGTGTGTATGTGTGTGTGTATATTGGGTGTTTCTCTCACACACACACACACACGTGATCATATGTGTATACTGTAGTAGGTATGGCCATGTATGTGACCCTTTCTTTACCACTACATGAATGCATAATATAATTTACAGAAGAGTATCGTGGATGGCGTACCGTAGACGGCGTACCGTAGATGACATATACCGTGGATGACATATACCGTGGATGACATATACCGTGGATGACATATACCGTGGATAACATATACCGTAGATGACATATACCGTGGATGACATATACCGTAGATGACATATACCGTGGATGACATATACCGTGGATGACATATACCGTGGATAACATATACCGTAGATGACATATACCGTGGATAACATATACCGTAGATGACATATACCGTGGATGACATATACCGTGGATGACATATACCGTGGATGACATATACCGTAGATGACATATACCGTAGATGACATATACCGTAGATGACATATACCGTAGATGACATATACCGTAGATGACATATACCGTGGATGACATATACCGTGGATACATATACCGTAGATGACATATACCGTAGATGACATATACCGTAGATGACATATACCGTAGATGACATATACCGTAGATGACATATACCGTATGATGACATATACCGTGGATGACATATACCGTGGATGACATATACCGTGGATGACATATACCGTGGATGACATATACCGTGGATGACATATACCGTAGATGACATATACCGTAGATGACATATACCGTGGATGACATATACCGTGGATGACATATACCGTAGATGACATATACCGTGGATGACATATACCGTAGATGACATATACCGTAGATGACATATACCGTGGATGACATATACCGTGGATGACATATACCGTGGATGACATATACCGTGGATGACATATACCGTAGATGACATATACCGTAGATGACATATACCGTAGATGACATATACCGTAGATGACATATACCCTAGATGGAATATACCGTAGATGGCTTTAGAGTGTTTAATCATCAGGTTAAATAAGCTATGGGTGTTAATCTTCAGCTAATCCGCCCATTGACTGTAGGTTTAAGGATACTAACATTGTCAACAGTACAGTAGGTAGGGCGTGGGTGGTTATTTAGGTCAGGTTAGGTTAGATTTAGGTTAAGTTAGGTTTAGGTCAGGTTAAGTTAGGTTTAGGTTAGGTTAAGTTAGGTTAGGTTAGGTTTGGTCAGACTTTGAGGGACGATGTTTATATACTGTATGTACTAAATACTAACATTGTCAACAGTAGGTGTGACGATGTTGTAGAGAGTGGGAGTAAGCGGGTGTTGTGTACAGTATATTTAAAAAGACAAGTAACTCTCTCGACTTACTGATGAATTCCTGGAGGTAAATAAGAGGATGTGTAGCCTGTCAGTGTCACCTGTACTTAACGTTAAACTTTGGTCTGACACACAGCGTGGAGTTTACAAGATAATTCGGGGGCTTTATTTAGCGTGCAGCTGGCCCAGGCGTCACCTATCAATCACACACACAGACACACACACACACACACACACACACACACAGGTATAGGTGAGAATTTTGTTTTGGTTTATGCCCACTTTGTCTACTCCCATTATGTTGATTCTGGAAATGTCACATATTCCCGGAATGTCTACTGTCAGTTAATGATGAGCTAACCTAACCTAACCTAACCTAACCTAACCTAACCAGTGTGAAATTGTAAGACGATGTTACCCATTAAACATCTCTATCTATCTATCTATCTATCTGTCTATCTATCTGTCTATCTGTCGGTCTGTCTGTCGGTCTGTCTCTATTTACGTGTTTATCTAACCTAACCTCACGCACACATTTCTGCTTGGAGCCGAGTTAAGGATCTTATCTGCCTCTCTTCTCCAACTTGCACGAGTGTTTGTTGAATTATTGATGCTAAAGTTTGGAGCAGCTCTGATGACACTACACTACCCACACCATCAACAAATCTTCCCAGGGTGGAGGTATTATGCAGGGGGAGGAGACGATTTAAATGTACAGTCGGGGTCAAAAGTTCGCTCCCGTCCAAAATGAAGCAGTGTCGATCCCAAATGAGATGAAACAGTCAGGGTTAAGTCAGTTCGGAAACTCATTCCCGTGGTTCAGTTTCACCACAGGGAGTGAACTTTTGTCCCCGACTGTACAATAGCTTAAAAATAATTAACTTGAACGTAGTATGATAGTGTATTATTGACTAGCTCCTGAGGTCACCATACAGGTAGCTATCAAGGTGGGTTTTTTTTTTTTTACGAGGTATTAGCCCACCCGGGCACAGGTCACTGACCCACATCGGGGCCTGGGAGGCGAAAATGTAATAATAATAATAATAATAATAATAATAATAATAATAATAATAATAATAATAATAATAATAATAATAATAATAATAATAATACTGCAATAATAATAATAATAATAAAAAAAAAATAATAATAATAAAGAACCATAAAGAAAAAAAAAAATATCAATAGTGAGAAATGATACACTGTATGTATATTGTGTTGTCAATAGTAAGAGAATCAATTGAGACCCTGCAATTGTGTGTAAATGAGGCAGAAAGTCAGATCAGCAACCTGGGACTGGGTCACAATTTTCGTGATGCCATATGGCAGCAGGGTCTACCATTAGACAACACACAATGCTTCCAATATCTTCCCAGGCGGTAGTACCTCCCTGTTTGGTAGCTGCCTACTACCTACTACCTATGTAGTAATAGAATGTTATCAAGGTGTGGTGAGGTGTGGTGTGAAGTCTCCCAACACCCTGCTCCTCCCTACAGTTCCTTCTGACGCTTTACCTGAGTCACTGGTCAGGGGGTGTAGGTGTTGTTGACTCACGTCAGTTCCCCTGAGTTACCTGAGACGAGAGTATTATTGTTGTTTATCTTAGTGTCTGGTATAAACCCTGAGGCTAATGATTGGTTGAGGCGCTTCATAAAGGGTACAATACTCTCACTGGCGACAACTGATAATCCTCCTGGGTCATGTGAAGATTAGCCCCCATGGTTATTTTACCTGAGGATTAACCATCCTAACGCAAACCTGAACTAACCTAACTGTACCGCTAACCTAACCTAACCCTTAAAATATTAGATCACTTTCTCTTATTTTTTCTTCCCAGATTATTATTATTATTATTTGGTGTTCTTAGATAATTTGTTGGGTTTTATTTTTTGTTCTGTTGCAAGATGTCAATGCACGAAGGATTTATTTTTTTCTGTTAGTTTCTTAGTTTATTGTTATTTAAGGTATTGTACTGTACTTCCGCTGAGTCAATAGTCTTAGTTTTGTGGTGTGTGTGTGTGTGTGTGTGTGTGTGTGTGTGTGTGTGTGTGTGTGTGTGTGTGTGTGTGTGTGTGTGTGTGTGTGTGTGTGTGAATTAATAACCTAATAAAAACAATTAAATTTTAAACTTCAACCTTTGTTTTGCGGTGGCCGAGTGAGCACAGCACTCTGTCCCGTCCTAAGGGTCGCTGGTTCCCGCCCGTGGTACCCCCAAGTTCACCCAACTGTAACTAGGTACCTAATTTATCAGTTGGTGAGAGTGAAGGCAGTCGAGTACAGTGTTGGTCAGGCTGCTTCCTTGTGTACAGAAATAAAAGCTTTTAGTATCTGCACTGAGCTTAATGGTGACTGAAGCAAACAGAATTTATTTTTACTGGTATGAAAAATTATAGTTATTGTGTTTTTCTAGTGACACACACACACATACACAAGGGAGATCAGTAGTCACAGAAACCCACTGTCGCCTACCACACGTTACCAATAATAGTACAAGTGTGGGTTTTTTTTTGTTATCTGTCTAAGAGTAACACGTTGATAGGAAATTGTTGTATCACTTAAAGGTTCACTTCCCCTTTCCTCCAAGATTATTTCACCTGAAGATTTACCACCCTATTGCAGTCGTGGGGGGTTAGGTTATTTTTGGTTAGATTATGTAAAGTTAGGTTGGGTTAGGTTAGATTAGGTTAGGTTAGGGTAGGGTAGGTTAGGTTAGGTTAATATTAATCTTCAGGTATACAATAATCTGGTGGGGTGGAGTGGGGTAGGAGGGACGAATCTTCAGGTAATCCTTGAAGTCTTAAAATCAATTCACCTTAAGTCCTGATAATAAACACTGAACTACTCCACCTTCAACACTAGTAGTATGAAGTAATGTCCAGCGTTTCTGTTGACTCACCACGATAAAACTCCATAGAAAACTGGGACGAGAATTGGCGTTACACACTTGAGATAAATTTGACGCGACTGCCCCCTGACTTAGCAAGAGGACGGGAACGGCACAAGTAGACGACGTGTTTGCGACAGGAAGTGTGGGATTATGTGTCTCTGGTCGAGTGTTCATTTGAATGTTGTGGAGGAGAGCAGCGTGTGTGTGTGTGTGTGACGGCGACGCGATGATCAGAATAAGAAGAAGTAGGAGCTGTGTCTGTAGAAGGCTGTGTTGGCAACTTGTGTTCCTCTTCTTCCTCCTCTAGCTGATATGTTATTGTTCCTTTGTTATAGATGTTATTGGAGGTAATAGTTCTCGTGTTCTCTTATGTATTCAATATAATTAACCCTTGAAACATTAATCAATTAAAGGGGTGACATTAATGTGTACTTAGTGCGTGTCATCTGCTTGGTATATATCTTGTACACAGCACGGAAAGAAAAGTTTACTTCAATATTCACACATAAATGGACGGAAAATATCAGATGTTACGAGCCTTTACAAACACACACACACACACACACACACACACACACACGGCTGATGTCTTAGCTCGTGACCAGTATCTCGTCGACCTGGGGGGGGGGGGGGCTGGGGGGTGTACCATGCTCTTATCACCTTTTGACACTCGTTATCAGGTGAACGCGAGGGTCTCAGGAGACGCCAAAGGCAGACACGGGGTAGATATGACGCTTATCTGTGAACCAGGATGACTTTCTCCTCCTCCGCCCTGGGTGTAGTAGTCTGTCCTCCTCCCTGGCCTCTCGTTGTCCTCCTCCCTGGCCTCCTCCCTGACCTCTCCTCCTCCCTGGCCTCCTCCCTGACCTCTCCTGACCTCCTCCTGACCTCCTCCTGACCTCCTCCCTGACCTCTCCTCCTCCCTGGCCTCCTCCCTGACCTCTCCTCCTCCCTGGCCTCTCCTTGTCCTCCTCCCTGGCCTCCTCCCTGACCTCTCCTCCTCCCTGGCCTCTCCTTGCCCTCCTCCTCGTCTATTTAATGATTGAAAACTCTTTGTAGTTGTACGTATATAATATTAACTTTAACTCAGTAACATGAAAAAGGGAACGAAGGACTATTTTAGTACGGTTTACATAATGGTGAATATTTCTCTCTCTCTTTTTATGTTTTTCTTACAATACATTAATTTTAAACCAAACAATTACATAAACGGATCCAGGATTAAACTTGAGATACGGTTTACTTAATGGTGGAAACTTTGACACTCTATGCGAACGATAAATTAAAATAAAATCAGATGAAAACATTTAGACGGAAAATATTGTATACATTGACCTACAGGATTTTTGTTTTTATCGACGGTCAAGCAGAGTCGGGGGTGAGTCCCAGCTTTGAGTACCAGCCCGAACGTTTACCTTGACTCTTCTTGTCAATTCATGTGCAAATAAGAGCTTGTAGAATACCAGTGTACTCAGACGGGGGTGAGGGAAGGGGTGGGGGGGGTCTGCTTCCTCCTCACACTCCGTCGTTGGTGAAGACGATTGGGTGTATTGATGTTATAATATAGTGTTGCTTTTCTACAACTAAGGTCAATAAACATGTATTTTAAGTTAGTATATACAGATTAATGATTTAATATTAAGAGAAAGATCAAATTAAACTTATTCCCCAAGTCAGTAGTTTATTGGCCCATATTAGGCAGTCCCGTTTACACCCAACCCTTATCGCTCATATATCCATCCAACCTATATTTGAACCTATCCAGTGTGTTCGAGTTAATGATGATGTTCGGTAACTTGTTCCACTCATCCACTACTACTCTATATCCTAACCATAGTTGACTTATTTCATACCTAAATCTAAGTTTGTCTAATTCTAAACCATTACTACGTGTTCACTCCTTGTTTGATAGTTGAAACACCTTAGTTATATCACCTTTATTTAACCCCCATCTTCTATTTATATACTTGGAAGATTATCTCACCGTGTTTCCGTGTTCCTGTGTTTCCATGTTCCTGTGTTGCCGTGTTCCTGTGTTCCTGTGTTGCCGTGTTCTTGTGTTCTATGTTCCTGTTTTGCCGTGTTCCTGTGTTCCTGCGTTTTCGTGTTCCCGTGTTTATGTGCTCCCCTGTTCCCGTGTTCCTGTGTTCCTGTGTTACCTAGACTAACATTTTTTCCACATTATATTGCATCTGCCATTTTTCAGTCCATACTCAAAGTTTGTTTAGGTTTTCCTAGAATTATTCTAATCCACATCAGATTGTATTTTATAGCAATCAATCAACCAACCAATCAATCAACCAACCAATCAATCAACCAATCAATCAATCAGTCAATCAATCAATCAATCAAGTTTATATAAATAAATATATCAATCAATCAATCGACCTCATGAGATTTAATTAATCGCCTTATTTTGGTTAACAGGAAATTTAATAATGTTACTCTCAATGTCTATATCCATGGCGTTAGGTTAGGTTAGGTTAGGTTAGGTTGAATTAAGTTTGATTAGGTTGAGTTAGGTTAGCTTACAGTAGATGAGGTTAGGTTTAGACACAACTATATAACGTAATTCAGACCAGTAATTAAATTACCTGAGCAGCTGAGGGAATGTTATTTATCTTAATTTCACTAGGTTGTCCATACAGGTAACGAAGGTAATTATCGAAGCGTAGTAATACAGTGAGGCAGTCAGCGAGCCCTTCAGTAAACTAGTGTGTGTTAAATCGAGTTTGTTATTATTAATTTTATGGTGACTGTATTAAATATATTCTATGTATAATTTTATGTATTTTTAGATAAATTCACCGAGTCGTTTTAAATTGTGGTGATAATAATGTATTTAATTTTACCTGTAATTTGATTGTCTGGTCGGATTTACAGGTGTGGTCATTTAACTCATAAATCTAGCTTAAAATTGACGACGTAACTTGATATTATGTTGTCTGAATATATTTCGTTAATTATGATATTTTACACTCGTTATTGGTTATAAATGTTGTTGATAATGGTGATGAAATTATGACTCGGAAACGTATAGGTGATATTATTGATGAGTCTTAATAACTTATGATATTCTTATTAAATTTTATATATATATATATACTTAATGTGAAGGTGATTGGTGTGTGTGTGTGTGTGTGTATTATATAGTTATTCTGGTCTTCTGAAATACCACAGTATGTCCACAGTATGTCTGTTAAGTTGTAAAGGGTTCATAACCAGAAGCCTCACTTGACCAGACAAAGTACAGTAGAAGAGTTACATGAACCCAGACGATGGTGCTGCCCTCTGGTGGCTGTATGTACACTTAAAAGTCAGGACCCCCCACCACCCCCCCCACCCCTCACCCCATTATTGTCAATTCCCCACAAGTTTAGTTCAACATGATAAAAAAATTACACTTATTCTCAACTACCTTGTCAATAGTAATACAACTTTCATGTTTCTATTTCAGTTAGCAGCCACTCAGCACATGTAAGTACTCGTATTGCCGCTATTCTGTTCGTTTGTCACATAGCTTCAGAATCGATCTTTTCCTTCGCTAACCAATTCTCTCCCATTACTGAATCTCGTGTTGAAGATCCTCGTACTTGGCCCTCCTAAAACCCCCATGTTCGCCACTTAAGGTATCCACTCAGGTAGTTGTGGCTAGATGAGTGTTTATAGTGTCAGACATGTTCCAATAACCTAGACCATGCTGCTGCTGCTGCTGGTCTGCCTGCCTCGTCACGTCTCTACTATTAACCAACCACAATCTTACTTTAACCACACCTCCACCGCCTACCACACCTCCATTACCACCAACGACACTCTTATCTTCAACACACCTCCACCACACTAACATCTTCACCACAGTTTCACCTCCACCACCAACCACACTCTTACCTTAACCACACGTACATCTCGCCTCCACCACACTCTCACCTCCACCAACCATCACAGTCTTAGCTGCGTCAGACGGATCTATGAATGCCAATCCTGACAGACACTACTGATGAAGCGTGTAGTTAGTTCTTAGTTCCTGTTTCCCTCCCCATCAAGGTTCCTTCAATCTGAGTGACGTTTAACAATTTATCATATGCTCCGAGGTGCGGTGGCCGAGTGGACACAACGCTTACCTTCTGTCCTGAGGGTCGTTAGTTCGCGCTTGGGGCTCACACTACCCACCTAGAGCCATGGAGTGTGTCTGTGTTACAACTTACTGACAGTTTTCTCTTTCTGTCTTGGAGTGATGATTGACTGTGAGGTTTTGACATAGATTTTTTTTTTTTTTAAGAGAATAACGCCAGAGAAAACAAGATCCTCTAATGAACGTCCGTGGATTGTTACTCCAGTATTTATAGGGTGTCTTGAGGTGAGGGACGGGAGGGGGGAGGGGAGGCTGAAATGTAAAAACTTCTCCTCCTGAAACTTTAATTGAGAAGCTGAAACTCTTGTAATTGTTATCTCACCTTTACCTAGTTGGTTGAGGACATTATAACAGGGTTGTATTAGAAGAGACGCCTAGGAACTAACAGCCTTATTAATTTATTTCATTTTGATACTAACCTAACCTAACCAAATATGTCTGTCTTGTTATATCTTCTCGGCAGTGTAAGGCAGATCCAGTTTGCTCTTGTCATTCTCCGCTTGACAATCAGAGACTAGAGATGCTTCAGGCACTATGAATATTGAGAGCTTAAGAGGAGATCAGTGTGATGGCGGATGGGCAGCGTCGGGTGAATGCATGAAGACAAGGAAAGGGGTTACGGTCGACCTATTTGTGAAGGCTTTGCATGGGTGATGTGAGAGTTGTGACGTCACTAACCTCCTCCACACAAATAACACGTTTAGCGGGAGCATTTACTTACCGACACGCGCCACACTATACCACCACACAACACTCGCGGCCATCCGTCAACAGGTGGCATCGCAGAGCCCAACAAGACACGTGGTAGCTTAAGTGAGAACAGAGTACGTGGTTAGGTTAGGTTAGGTTAGGTTAGGTTAGGTTAGATGAAACAAGATGCTGTATTGTCTCTAATCTTTAAGTGATCCTATGATAATATTTCTATACCATCAGTGATTCTCAATTTTTTTACTTATACAGCTTATAGTTCTTCGTCTTAGTATTGTCTTAACACTTTATTATTTATTACCTATAATATATTTTTTTTCTCACATATAATTACCTCCCTATAATATATGAGCTATGTGTTGGTGGGGAGCATCTATAACTTAGGTGTGTTATAGCAAGGGAGAGACATACACTCAGCCATGCTCTCTCTCTCTCTCTCTCTCTCTCTCTCTCTCTCTCTCTCTCTCTCTCTCTCTCTCTCTCTCTCTCTCTCTCTCTCTCTCTCAAAGCCTCGAGACCTGTACATTAAACTGAAGTAACCAATTTCCTATAGTTTACACCACAAAAGGCTTAGGTCACAGTATGCTGTATCCGTACGCCCCTAAATATGCGTGTGTGTGTGTGTGTGTGTGTGTGTGTGTGTGTGGGTGTGTGTGTGTGTGTGTGTGTGTGTGTGTGTGTGTCTGTGTGTGGGGCAACAGTGGACAGACAGCCGTACATCGCATCTACAACACCTGGTATGTAATTAAAGAAGACAATGACTATTAAATTATGTTGGTTCTATTTCTGGTCTTTTTAATCGATTTCCCTATCTCGTTCATTCTTCTTCTTCTTCTTCTTCTTCTTCTTCTTCTTCTTCTTCTTCATCTTCTTCTTCTTCTTCTTCTTCTTCTTCTCCTCCCTCCCTCCCTCCCTCACTAGGATTACGGATGCGGAAGGAATAATATGAACCACTGATTGAACTAATTAACTTGCGGTGTTCAGATGTTAATGGATGCGGTGAGGTAACGCTCTGAACTTTACAGAGATCAGACAACACACCACAACACATCACAGCACATCACAAGACACCACAACACATCACAGCACATCACAGCACACCATAAGACACCACAACACATCACAGCACATCACAGCACACCATAAGACACCACAACACATCACAGCACATCACAGCACACCATAAGACACCACAACACACCACTGAAGTAACTCGGTGCACTTCAAGAAACAACAAGACAGCACATCCCAACACACCTCAACGCACCAAAATAGCACAAGGTGAGGTGCGTTGGGTCACTGTCATTTCTCACACTTCCTGTTCCACCAGTTCCAAGATTTCTCACATTTCCGTTCCACGTTCCAGGGTCTTTCACGTTCCGTTCTAGGGTCTCTTACACGTTCCATTCCACGTTCCGAGAGGTCACACACGTTCCGTTCCACGTTCCAGGGTATTTTACACGTTCCATTCCATGTTCCAGGGTCTCTTACACGTTCCGTTCCACGTTTCATGGTCTCTTACACGCTCCGTTCCACGTTCCATGGTCTCTTACACGCTCCGTTCCACGTTACTGGGTCTCTAACACGCTCCATTCCACGGTCTGGTCTCTTACACGTTCCATTCCACGTTGCAAGGTGGCAAACGCGTTCCGTTCCACCCTCCGTTCCACGTTCTAGGGTCTCTCACATCTCCGTTCCATGTTCCAGGGTCTCTTGTACGTTCCGTTCCATGTTCCAGACTCTTATACGTTCCGTTCCATGTTCCAGGGTCTCTTACTCGTCCCGTTCCATGTTCCAGGCTCTTGTACGTTTCATTCCACGTTCCAAGTGTCACACACGCTCCGTACCGGCGGTCAAGGCAACAAACCTAATTTAGTTTTATAATGACAGAAATAATTAGCATAAACACATTATTGACGAACAGGAGAGGAAAAATGACTCGAAGCGGTAATGATGTTAAGTGTAAGAAGAAGAAGAAGAAGAAGAAGAGGAAGAAGAAGAAGAAGAAGAAGAATAATGTGAAGAGGCTCAAGAGAGGAAGCGATGAGATATATTGAAAGCAGAATTGAAAGAAGAAGAAAGGTCACTGTAATGAGGCTTAAAAAGATGGAAATAATGAAAGCATGACAAGTGAAACAAGAAGAAGAAGAAGAAGGAATACCAATATGAGACTTCAAAACATGGACATAATGAAATTAGGACAAAAGAAAGAAGAAAGAAAGAGACTCAACGTAAACAGACCAACATGGCCTCAACATAATTATTTCAAGACAGTCTTTCTGCCTCCTCCCGCCACTCAATCATCCCGCTGGCCAAACCATCAACAATTTATACTGTAATTTGGATATCTCTCTCTCTCTCTCTCTCTCTCTCTCTCTCTCTCTCTCTCTCTCTCTCTCTCTCTCTCTCTCTCTCTCTCTCACACACACACACACACACACACACACACACACACACACACACACACACACACCCTATCCTGTTGTTGGGCAGGTCGGGACAGTGGGCGTGTTGCGGCAGTTCGGGACAGTGGGCGTGTTGCGGCAGGTCGGGGAGGTGGGCGTGATGTTGCAGATGGGCAGGTCAGGGTGGTAAGGCAGGTCGGGGCGGTGGGCGTGGTGCGGCAGGTGGGAAGGTTCGGGAATGGCTCTGCAAGACTCACACGACCTACAGTATCTAGGGATTAAAAGATGAATTTACTGTTATGGTTACTGTGGTTGGTGTGGCGACGGCTGCTCTCATCTCCTCTGATCTACGGGAGGAGAGCTGCCGGGGTGTGGATGTTGGAGGTCAGGAGGGTGTGTGGGTGTTGAGGTCAGGAGGGTGTGTGGGTGTTGAGGTCAGGAGGGTGTGTGGGTGTTGAGGTCAGGAGGTGTGGGTGTTGAGGTGTGTGTGGGTGTTGAGGTCAGGAGGGTGTGTGGGTGTTGAGGTCAGGAGGGTGTATGTGTGTTGGAGGTCAGGAAGGTGTGGATAGCGAAAATATCTCAGGAACGGAAAAAATAATACTCAAAAGTCCTTTCTGTCAGATATTATCACCACCCTAACCTAACCTAACCTAACATAACCTAACCTAACTAACCTAACCTAACCTAACATAACATAACATAACCCCCACCCTCCCAGGTAGTCTTAGGGCTTGAGGGTGAGGGAGAGGTGCTAATCTTCAAGTCGTTCCATCAATCAACACAAAAACTCAGCCTCGGATGGGGGCTGGGCTGGGGGGGGGGGGCAGCGTTGCGTGTATCGTGAAGAAAAACATAATTAGTGGTTTATATTCTGATTTTAATAACATGAAGTTTTTTTTTTATTACTGGTTAATGAAGTAGCTATCAGGTTTTTGTATTTGGTGTCGTTTAATTTTTTATTTATTTTTTTGTATTTTTAGTTAGTTTTGTTTAGCGATGTTTTTTTTTCTGTGTTATAATTATACTTTGTTTCTCTGTCTGTCTGTCTCTGTCTGTCTGTCTCTGTCTGTCTCTGTCTCTTTCTCCTGTTTACATTCTTTTGTTGTTGTTGGTGTGTTGTTCTTCATTATTATAATTATTGTTATTATTCGTATTAGTAGTAGTAGTAGTAGTAGTGGTAGGACATAATAATTATATAAAGTACATACTACTTCTACTACTACTACTACTAT